GGCGCTGGTGTCGGCGCTGGCGTCGGTTATGTCAACGACGTTGGTCCCAGCGCAGGCGCCGGCGTCTGCAGGCGCCGGTGCTGGCGTCGGCACTGGTGTAGGCCCCAAGGGGCCAGGTGACTGGAATTTCCGTCAGTGTTTAGGAGAATCAGGTGTAGGCGCCGGCGCTGATGCTGGCGTATGCGCCTGCGTCGGTGCTGGCGTAGTGGCTGACACCGACGCTGGTGTAAGCGCTGGCGTTGGTGCCGTCGTAGGCGCAGAGTCGTTGGTGCCAGCGCCTGTCCGCACCGGTTAGCTGGACAGCTAACAAGTGCGCTGCGGTTAGACGTCGGTGATGGTGTAGGCACTGGCGTTGGTGCCGGCGCAGGCGCTGGTCTCCGTGATGGCGTCAGCTGACGTAGGCGCTGGCGTTGGTGCCGGCGCAATCAATGGCGGCCATGCTGGCGTCGACGCAGGCGTCGGCGCTGGCGAAAGCACCGGCGTCTGTACTAGCGTCGGTGCTGGCGTCGGTGCTGGTGTAGGCGTTAGCGTTTGTGCTGGCGTCGGTGATGACAATGGTGCTGATGTAGGCCGGCGTCCGTGCTGGTGTAGGCGCTGGCGTCGGCGCTGGTGTGGGCGCAGGCGTTGATGCTAGCGTCGGTGCTGGCGTAGGCACTGGCGCTGGTGCAGGTGGAAGCGCTGGCGTCGGTGCAAGCATCGGCGTTGGCGTAGGTGCCGGCGTTGGTGCTGGTGTCGGTGCTGGCGGCGGTGCTGGGGGGGAGGCGCCGGCGCTGGAGTTGACGTAGGAAGAGGCGTTGATGTTGACGTAGGCGTTGGCGTCGGGGCTGGCGTGGCGGGTCATTGACCCCGCCGTGCTGCTCATGGTACACGGCGTGCTACGCGGGGGAGGAAGTGAAGACATGGCCGTAAAATTGTCGCTCTGAGACACGAAGCCAATATGCGAATAATGATGTCGACCAGGAAAGGCGGAGACAAAGAGCCGAAGAGGAGGGAGATGTTGACCAATACTCCGTGATGCTACTGGTCGTGGCGCACGTGCTGTTGCTCTCGCGTGTGGCAATCCCAAAATCCCAATTGTGTTGCTCGCGGCTCTCGTCTGGACGCCGATGCAGATGTGCTGGTAGCTCAAGGAAGAACTGGCGTTCCCGTAGTTGGGATCGATGCTGGAGTCGTTGCTGGCACCGATGTTGTTGAAGATCGTGTGATGGGGGCAGGATTTGTCCGCCTCCATTTGGCCACGCGTCTTGACTAAATGCCCAACTTATATTGAGGGCCGTTCGCACGTCGTCTTGCTCACGGTCGTGCTACCGACGACCGTCGTGCTTCTGGCGACCGTCGGCCAAGCTGGTGTAGGCGCTTGCTTTGGTGCCGGCGCAGGCGCAGGCGATAATGCTGACGTCGGTGCTAGCGTCGGCGCTGGCGCAAACGCCAGCGTGCTCTTCTGGGACACCAGTGAGCCGGACAGCTCTCTGGTGAGCTGGCGTCTGTGGTGGCGTCGGCACTACAGGCGCTGACGCTCGTGCTAACGCTTGCGTAGATGTTTGCTGGGGCTGCCGGTATACGAGCCAATATTCGAAGTCGTGGTGGGCTTGTTACCCCTGGAACTGTCTATCCTCGTGAACGTGCCGCTCAGCAGCGTCGCACCACTGCCCCCTGAACCAACAATGAAAGAACTCGTGGAGGCCATGCATGCCACATCGCGGTAAGAGTAGGTCTGAGTGTGAGTGCACCTGAGGGAGCGCGTCTGAACATGACCAGGTCTGACTGACGATCAGGGTCTGGGTGTGAATGGGTCTGGATGATGCCAGCGTGTGGGTGGGTCTGTGCATGGGCGAGTCTTAGTGTCAGAGTCTGGACGTGTCTGGGTACGATTGACTGGCTAAGAGTGAATATGAGAACGAGGGTGTCTGCGTTCGAGCGAGTTTGGGCGAGAGTGAGTCAGGGTGCGAGTGAGTCTGAGTATGAATGAGTCTGTGTATGAATGAGTCTGAGTGTGAGTGAGTCTGAGCTGGTGTCAAATTTGGGAGTGGACCTGAGTATTGGAGCAAGGATGGAGGTGAGGGTAGGTGAGGATTTGGGGGCGTCGCGCGACTAATTACATGATCGACCCACGAACCCGGAAAGGGATTGAGAACTGCGAGGCATGGAACCGTGTCCAAGGACCTCAATTGCATATCCAACTGGGCGATGCCAGGGGGGCATGCCAGAAGGACGCGCCCCGGATCGTCCCAAAGGACGCGCCAGCGGACGTGCCAGGGGACGTGCCAAGGGAACGCACCGCGGGACGTGCCAAGGGGACGCGCTACGGAACGGGCCAATGGACGTGACACGGGACGCGCCAGGGGACGCGCCGCGAGACGTGCCAGGGGGACTCGCCACAGGACGCGCCACGGAACATGCCAGGGAACGTGCCAGGCGACGCGCCAGGGAACGTGCGAAGAAACGCGTCAAAGAACTGGCATGGGACGTGGCACGGGACATGGCGCGGCGGACCCATGAACGAAACCGTCACGACGGGACCGCGCTCCCGAGGCCAAAGTCCCTCGTAAACTACGCTGCGTCCGCTCTGCCTGTGCTACGGTCGCTCGTAAACTACGCTGCGTCCACGCTCCCAAGGCAACGATACGTCGTAAATCACGCGGCGTCCGCGCTCCCGGGGCCGTAATCTCTTGTACATGATGCGGGGGTCGCGCTCTCAAGGCCACGGTTCCTCGAACATTGCATTGCATTCGCGCTCCCAGGGCAACGACCCCTCCGAAATGATGCACGCAGGATCCACGCTCCAGGGCCACGACCCCTCGTGAATTACACTGGGTTGGCGCTGCGAAGGCCACGATCTATCGTACATGCACTGGGCTCGCGCTCCCAAGGCTACGATCTCTTGTAAACTACGCTGCGTCCGCGACACCAGGGCCACGATCTTTCGTCAATTACGCAGTGACTGCGCCTCCAGGGGCGGGATCCCTAAATCATTACAGTGTCTCCGCCCCCCCAAGGCCTCCCTGTAAATTAACCTGCGTCCGCACTCCCAGGGCCACGATCCATCGTAAATTACGCTGCGTCCACGCTCCCAAGGCCGCCGTGTCCGGCGTAAATGACGCTGCGTCTGCGCTCCCAGGGCCACGATCCATCGTCAACTACGCGGTGCCCGCGCTCCCAGGGCCACGATTCCGTGTACATTACGCTGCGTCCACTCCCCCCTGGGCCACGATCCCTCGTAAACTACTCTGCGTCCGCGCTCCCAGGGCCGCGCTCTCCCGCGTCCGCGCTCCCAAGGCTACGATCCCTTGAAAATTATACTGGGTTCGCTCCTCCAGGGCCAGGACCCCTCATCAATTACGCTGCGTCCGCGCTCCCAGGGCCAGGATCCTTTTGTACATTACGCGGGATCCTCGCTCCCAAGGCCACGATCCTTAGTAAATAGCTGTCCGACCGCACTCCTAGAACCACCTGGGCACGGTTGGGCGCTCAGGCCTTCCAAGCGCTGCAAAACAAGCGTTTCGGTGGAGACATCCTCAAACATTCGGCACGCAGGGTTCGCTATCCTCGAGCGGGCACGCAACAAAAACAAACCTTCTTGCTGCAAAGCAAGCGCGGGGCGCGAGATGTCCTCGACATTCCTGCGCGCGGGACCCGCCATCCTCGAGCGGGCACGCAAAAAGTAAGCTGTTACACATGTTCTCTTATGTATTTGTGTTTTGGATATTCGTACCTTGCTTGTTATCGTAAATTCTGCGCGAAACGCTCCGCACCCCGCTTTTTCGACGGAGGACGTGTCTGCGGACCTTGTTATTCATCGAGAATCCGAAATGAGGGGGGCACATGTCTCTCGAGCTGGCACGCGCGAGACGCATTTTTCAACGTCGGATTGGACTTTACCTCGTTACTTTTCGGAAGTGCCTCCGCCGGCCCGCATTAGATCGAGGCTGGGGGGTAGCCAACATGATCGACCCACGAACCCAGAAAAAGGAAGATACAACTGTAAGGCATGGCAAGGTTTTCAATGACACCTGTTTGGGCGACGGGCACAAGCAATGCTGAATGTATCGATCTGAGCAACGGGCCCCTCTTTTGGCGGAAAGTGATTCTAGCGAAACTCTGGATTCGTCGTGGCCTGAGGCTTCGCGAGCTTATGCCTTAAAACTCGTTCTCCCCCCGAGGGTTCAGGGGGCGGGAGACCGAAAGACAACTACACTGAGAGAGTGGCAGCGGCATGGCCTCCAACAGTGGCTGAGAGTGCTGCGCAACACTATGACATCACTTAAAGGGCCCCTCTGCTCAACCCGTTTTCAAACCTCCAGAGCAACGGACCTCTCTTTTTGACGTGACTGGTTCTAGCGAAACTCTGGACTCATCGTGGCCTGAGGTTTCGCGAACTTTAAAGGCATGCCTTAAAACTCGTTCTCCCCCAACTCGTCCCGAAACGATCGAAGTTGGATGTTCTCTAGGGCGGGAGGACGAAGGGTGGGATGGAAGTGCTCTTTGTTCGACTGTACTGGCCAGAAGTGTTGAGACCGTGGACTGCGCCAGCAGCGGAGGATATCCGGAGGCAATGCGAGTGCGGCGGAGGCCGCCAGGCCCCCCGCCGGTGAGTTGCGAATGAGGCTGTCCTGTCTTGGAACAGATGCAACCCCGTGGACGGCATCGATGGGTGAGCTTGATTCACATACCCACACAGGAGCCGCTCGGCCTGCTTCCACTTGGCCCCGTATTGGCACTGGTCCAAGTCAGCAGCCGAAGCGAGTTTGTCATGAGACATATCGTAAACTTCAGCAGTGTGCCACAAGCGGCTTGTCAGGGGATGTTTTAGAATGGTGGGAATCCCTAGTTTCAAAAAAAAACTGAAGAGAGACAGAGCTACTCGTGCGAGCTGGTTGCCCAGCCCACTGCTTTGGCATCCGAAGGGGTCAAACGTGAGGCGGGGGCCCCCCGCGGCATCTCACGGCTGCGCACAGGGATCCTATCGCGCGCAAGGGAAAAGGTTAGGCAAGGAGGAGCCATCACTGCTGCAACTTGCCAGCCGTTTCGAGAGTCGGCTTTGATAACAGCACCGCGGACGACAATAAATCCTGCCATTCGGCAGCATAGATCACGCCCCAGCTCCTCGCCCCAAAACCTCGGGCTCCGGTCGCTTGAGACACAGCTCTGCAGCCAGCCGGCGAAGAGGTCGGCAATGCATTGAACTTTGCCGAGACGGGAGCGGCCGAGCCGGTCCCTAGAGCGCCCGCCCCGATGTCCGACGTGCACTGGGCCCACTTTCGCCACATCTGCTCTCCGTGGGGCCGGTCGGCCCGGATGAGCGCCAGTTGCCTCTCCGCCTCCTCGCGCGCCGCGTGCAGCCGGGGGTCGAGCTTGGCGTAGTCGCTCCCGAGCCTGCTGCTGTGCTCGCGGTGCATCGACACTGCCTGCGCCCACTCCCCCCGTCGCTGCGCGGAGGTCAGGTTGCGCCAGCCCGTCGCCAGATCGATGCTGGCGCCTGAGGCATCATCTGGCACAGCGTCACGGGCGCTTCCACGAGGTCATCCGCCGCCTCCGCGAGGAGCACCGCTGCCTCGGGGTAGTCGAAGTCCCGCAGCGGCTGCTTCGACGTCGCCGAGGCCAGCCGCTCGAAGACCGCGCCCAAGCCCTGGAGGTACGGGGAGTCCAGGGGGCAGCCCTCGTCGAAGTGCCCCCGCTTGCTGGGCCTCTTCTGCTCCCGCGGGTGGGTCAGCAGCGCCCAGTGTCTGCTGGAACACTGGGCGCCGGTGGCGATAGATCGCACCGCCGGGCGGCCGGCAACGTCGAGGGCCGCGCATAGAGCGCGATGCCCACTATCAGGAATGTGGCCAGGCGCAGATGGCCTCGAGATCTCGCCGCCAGCCTCCAGGCCAGCCCGCGCCAGACAGGGAGGGCAAGGGCCTTCCGCCGCCAGCCGGGAGTCAGCCTGCGCCAAGCTTTCAGCGCCCGTCACGTCCGAAGCAGCGCGCGGCCACCTGCGCGGCCGAACCCTAGGTTCGCGTCGACCCAGGCCGCCACCGCCGGGTCCCCGAAGCTGCTCTGCTCGCCCTGCAAGTAGTGCGTGGTCAAATAGCTCCACATGAGCTCGTCGATCTCTGTATCCCGCCTCTGCACCATCAGCCTCTGGGTCAGGCCGACGTCCGAAAAGAATCGATCGAGGCATTGCTCCTCACCTGCGTGGCCGTCGTCACCACCGAGGTTTCTAGGAGGCTCGCGACTGTCTCCTGGGCCGCGATGCACCTTTGCCCGCCGTTGCGACCTCCGCGCCCGCAACTGCCGCGTCTTCGCGCGACTCCTCCAGAGGTGCGCCGCCGCTGAGTCGGGGCCGCTTGAGATGCCGTCGCCCTCGGCGCCCTCCCCTGCGTCTCCGGCGAAATCCAACCCGTTCGCGCCCCTCTCGTCGGGGGCGGCGAAGTGCCGCCCGCCCCGAGCAGTCTTCTTCGCGGGGGGCGGAGGAGTGGCAGGCGCCAGCGACCTCGCTCTCCTCGATGAGCTCGGGCCGTCGGCCACAACGGCCCCCCTCGAGGCCGGGGGCGAGCTCGCCCCGGCCCCTCCAGCCACCAGCGCCCGCGCCCGCGCCGCCGGCCGTCGGGCGATCGGAAGTGCCGGGGGCGCCCGTGCTCGCGCTCGCGGCGCCGGCGGGCCCAGCGGCCGCGCCCTCTGCGGCGGCGACGGCGCCGTGCCCGGGTGGGTCAGACTTTCCGGACGGCTCGGTGACCTCTGAAAGGCCAGACAGTTTTGAGCCAAACTGACTGCATGAAAGAACGCGCGCAGAAGATTCAGACGGGCCGGCTCTTGGAGACGGGTGCGCGCATTCAGACTGGACTGAAACTTATCATCGGGAAGTGATGTCAAAATCTTGCTGTCGCTTCCTTCATCGCTCCCATTCGACTCCGAGGGGATCCATCGAAACGTGGGCGAGAGCATAAAAACGATTGCATAAGCATGGGATCGACGGATCTGCGCCGACAAACATAGGCAGGACGAACGAGCCCTAGAAAAGGACAGAACCACAAATACATTGCCGGGCAAGAACAGATGCCGAATGCAAGCCCCGTGCGAGTTCTTTGCGAGCCGCTGGATTGATTTCACCAGGGCCCTGGCGTCCAAGATGAGGATGCCTTCGGGGAAACGTCAGACCCCCGACCGACCGGTCTCCCAGACCCCCGTGCGGAGCCATTGCCAGGGGGCCTCATCAAAGTCGGGGTCAAGCCCCCAAGAGGACAGGCGGTCAGAGATAAAAGGGTCCGGAATTCTCTCGTCTACAAAACTGCGCAAGACGCCAGCGCCGTCTAGGGCAAGGTCGGCGGCTGCGAGCGCGCTCTCTCGCGCCGGCTGGCCCTGAGCTGAGCGAAAGCGGGCCCGCTCGGGCAGCCGGCCTACCGGCCCCGCCACGCTTCGGGGCCAGAACGACCGCGCCATGGCCGCTCTCGCTGGCGTCGGTCTGGGGCACGCAGCCGCTCCATGGCCCCCGCCAGTCCTGGACCATGAGGGCGAGGAGCCCGCGGAACATCAGGATCCCCTTAACCACCTCTGGCCACTGGCGCGTGGCGGCGCTGCGCGAAGCGGTGCGCGGCGCGCCGGTAGCTCAGAGGCCCTCGAAGGGCAAGCCCGACGAAAGTGTAGTGGCCCAGCGCCATCTCCAAGGCCCACCCTGATGCTCGCCCGCGGGCGAGTTGGCCCCCCTGCCCGAGGTGGACCTGCCAGCAGCGGCCGTCGCTGACGCCTGACCTCATGGGCTCGAGGTCGAGCTTGGCCCCGGGCGCCTCGCAGGCGCCCGAGCAGACGGTGCTCTCGTGCAGGTCAAGGCCGACAGCCTCGAACAGGCCGGTCCAGTTCTCGAGGGCGCCCGTGGCCAGGCTCTCCGCGAGGAGGTGAGCGCGCCCATTTTGTCAACGTAGACGTAGACACCCCCGCGCAGGCCAGGGCCGGCCCCCACCGCGAGCGGGGTGCCGCGGTCGCTCATCAAGACCCTCCCCGCGTCTGCTGCTGCCCCGTCAGGCCATCGATCGCATCGTAGGGCGCTCTCCTCGTTCGCGCCCTGGGCGACGAAGAGGGGCTAAGAGAACCCCATGGGGGGCGCGCCGATGCAGGGATATCGGGGCGTAAGGAGCCAGCCTCGCCCCTTCCAGCTCCTGCCGCCCAGCGCCGAGTGCGCGGGCAGGAGCGGCGGGAAGCGGGGGGAACTTCGCGAGGCTCAGCGGCATGAGCACCCTGTAGAAGCAGCCCTTGACGTCGGTCATGCCCGAGAAGAGCCGGAAGCCGTTCAGCAGCTTCTCCCCCTCTGGCGAGCCGACGGGGACGTCGTCGGGCAGCTTGATCTCCACCCGGCTGACGCCCCCGCGCGACAGGAGTTGCGCGCTGGGAGGCGCGCTAGACCAAGAATTCGCTCAGCACGCATCCACGATCACCCGAATCTAATGGCTCCCGCTGTTCTTCGCGAAGAACAGGCTCGCCTGCTCCACCGGGGACAGAGTGGCCAGCCGGAGTCCTCGATCCGAGACCCCCTTTGAAAAACCGGCGGTGCATCTTCCTATTCCGCTTCAGCAGCGGGTCGAAATACGGAGTCGGTAAGTTGTTGTCATAATCGATATCATTGGTAAGCAATCGCATTCGCTTTTGATCCTCCTTCAAAAAATGGCCGGCCTCGCCCACGACCTCCTCCGCCTGGCGGCGGCCGACGACGGGAGGGGGCAAGGGCGCCTGGCCTCGGGCGAAAAAGGCCAGGTTCCTCGGGGAGCCCGATGCGTCGTAGACCGGGCAACCCTTGAGCAACGCACTGGGCGCTGCCTCTCAGGACGGACAGGGGCTGGGAGCTGCGGCATGGCGCCGATGAGCTCCGCTGTCCACCCGCTGGGCGATCCCTGCGTGCTTGCCCCCTATCATGTCCAGGGGGCGCGGCGGGCCCGCGTCGCCAGGCTCCCAGCCGGCCAGCCAGTCGAGAGAATCGAGCGCGCCGTTCGCCAATGCGCGCGCGCGCCGCTGCCGAGCTCCAGCAATGCGGGCGCGGCCGCGGCCTCTGGAGGCCAGCGGCCTGGCGAGGCGCGGGGGCGGGAACAGGGCCCGATCCCCGCTCGCCAGAGGCAGCGGCGCGCGCCCAGCCGATGCGGCAGTCCAGCCGGCGGGGCACACACCGCCGACTGCGTCGCCTCAGTCGTGACTGCGCGGGCGGCGCTAGGCCCAGGCCGGGGCCGCGTTGCCCCGGCCGCCCCCGCCGCCGCCCCGGCCGCCGCCCTCGTCACCTGACTCGGGCGCCTCGCGCGGGGTCCGCGCGGCCGCCGCCCCAGCCACTGCCTCTGTCTTCTTGTCGCCCTGCAGCAGCTCGCACTCCTCCTTGGCGCTCCTCGACACATGACGCCGAAGTCCAGGCGCCATCAACTGGTCGACTTCGGTCAACGGCGACAGGTACTTTGCGTTTGAGTACGAGGCCCAGCCACTGTTCTTGCACGCATCCACTCGGAGATTCAATCGAAGGGCCGCCACCTCCAAGCATGCGAGCCCCCCTCAATTGAGCTGGTCGAACTCACCCGCTTTCTCAAGCATGTCACACAAGCTCGAGGTTCGTGGGAAACTCGATCCGTTGAGCTGATCCCTTTGTCTCGTAGGAAGCGTTCCAACCATCCAGAGCCTACCAGGTTCGCCATCACCTCACAGGTGTGGAGGCAGGTACGACCAGCTGGCAGCCTATGATGATCCTAGGCTGCGTGCGCGCTCCCGGCGACTGCTTTCCTGAACTTATTCCTCCTCTCGCTCTCGCTATGGTCGCCCCAATCGATGCACAACGTGCGCAGGTCGTTCCCAGCGTCACCTCCAGACTTGTCCTTGACTGGCGGGTCCTCGTCGGCGAGGTCCAGCCTGCCCCTGGGGCGGTCCACGGCGGGCTCGCGGCCAGATGGGGGGGCAGCGGAGGCGCGTCAGCGCCGCCAACCCCCACCTCGCTGGCCGCATGGGCAGGCGACGGAGCGATGGCCGCGAGCAGCTCGTCCGTCCTGCTGGCGGTCCAGTCCGCGATCATGCCCGGCTCCACCCTCTCGAGCCTCACCCAGCGGCTTCGGCTCAGAAAAAGGCAGAGAGCGTGGTCGCCGTCGCGGACCGCGCCGTCGGGCAAGGGGTCCACGATCGTGCCGATGGGCCTGTCGTGCAAAGGTTCAGCCATCACACATGGGCGCGAGGGGCCGTGCCACGGCAGTTGGTCCAAGCTGGGACGAGTCACGCCATCATCCATCAAGACACCTGCTGGCTCTTCGGACACCGCCTGGCCCCGCCTGTGCATCGTGCCCCCGCAGTCGACAACGAGCTGCACGAATCCGTCCAAGGACGGACGCCGTCGAAAACGATGGAGGCGGCGGTCGTCAGGCGGATCTCCCGTCGCAGGGTCGAGGAACGACCCGCCTGAAGG